TTTGTCTCTAAGGTATTCTATCCCATTCTGTGTATTGTCTTTTAACTCACTTAGTAGAGTTCTTCTGTACACAAAAGGTTTAAATTTTGATGAAGTCCAATTTATTTTTCTTTTGTTGCGTGCGCTTTTAGTGCCACCGTCAAGAAATTATTGCCAAGTCTGATGTTATGAAACTTGTCCCTGATCTTTTCTTCTGAGAGTTGTAGAGTTTTAACTCTTACACTTAGATCTCTGATCTATTTTCAGTTATGGTTATATGGCATTAGGCAATGCACCATCTTCATTCCTTTGCATCTGGATATCCTGTTTACCCAGCACTGTATGTTGAAGACTATTCTTTCTTGTTCTTGGCATCCTGTGGAAAATCATTTGACCATGTATGTGAGGTTTTATCCCTAGGTTCCCTATCCTATCATATTGGTCTATATTTCTGTGCTTACAAAAGTACCATATTGTTTTGATTACTGTAGTTTTGAAGAAATTAAGAAGTATAAATCTTTGGTCTTCTTTTTTTAAGATGGTTTTGGCTGATCGGGGTCCCTGGTGACTGTATATTAACTTTTGGATGGATTTTTCTATTTCTGCAGAAAGTACTGTTGAGATTTGAATAGGCATTGCATTGAATCTAGAGATCACTTTAGGTAGTACAGCACTGTCGTTTTAACAGCAGTCAGTCATCCAAATCATAAACGTGTTTGTTGCCTTTCCATTTATTTATGTACTCTTTCATTTCCTTCAGCAATGTTTGTAGTTTTCGGTTTACACATATTTCACATCCTTGGTTAAGCTAATTCCTAAGTATTTTCTTCTCTTTGATGCTAATGTAAACATAATTTTTTCTTAATTTCCTTTCAAATTGTTCACTGCTTGTTTATAGAATTCCTACTGATTTTTGTGTATTGAATTTGTACACAACAATTTTGATAAATTTCTTTATTAGCACTGTGTTTTTTTGGTGGAAATTAAAAGTTCTGCATATAAGATTATATCATCTCTTTCTTTTTTTCTTTTTCTTTTTTTTTTTTTTTGGAGACGGTGTCTCGTCTGTCGCCGCAGGCTGGAGTGCCAGTGGCACAATCTCGGCTTCACTGCAAGGCTCCACCCCAGGTTCACCGCCATTCTTCCTGCCCAGCTTCCAAGTAGCTGAGGTACTACAGGCCCCCGCCATCACACCCAGCTAAATTTTTTTTTTTTTTTTTTGGAGACGGAGTCTTGCTCTGTGCGCCAGGTTGCGGTGCAGTGGCCGGATCTCAGCTCACTGCAAGCTCCGCCTCCCGGGTTCACGCATTCTCCTGCTCAGCCTCCTGAGTAGCTGAGACTACAGGTGCGCCCACCCTCACCCTGCTAGTTTTTTGTATTTTTTTAGTAGAGGACGGGTTTCACCAAGTTACCAGGATGGTCTCGATCTCCTGACCTCATGATCTACCTGTCTCGCCCTCCAAAGTGCTGGGATTACAGGCTTGAGCCACGCACCCGGAGCCAATTTTTTTTGTATTTTTAGTAGAGACAGAGTTTCACCGTGTTAGCTAGGATGGTCTCGATCTCCTGACCTCGTGCTCTGCCTGCCTTGGCCTCCCAGAGTGCTGGGATTACAGGCATGAGCCACTGTGCCCAGCCCAGATTATATTATCCTGAATAGAATGTTTTTTTTGTTTTGTTTTGAGACAGAGTTTCGCTCCTGTTGCCCAGGCTGGAGTGCAATGATGTGATCTCAGCTCACTGCAGCCTCTGCCTCCTAGGTTCAAGCGATTCTCCTGCCTCAGCCTCCCAAGTAGCTGGGAATACAGATGTGCACCATCACGCCCGGGGAATTTTGTTTGTTTTGTTTTGTTTTGTTTTGTTTTGTTTTGTTTTACTAGAGATAGGATTTCACCATGTTGATCAGCCTGGTCTGGAATTGCTGATGTCAAGTGATCCGCCCGCCTCGGGCTCCCAAAGTGCTAGGATTACAGGGGTGAGCCACCATGCCCGGCAAATAGAGATATTTGTACTTCTTTTCCAATTAGGATGCTTTTGAATTGCTTCTATTTCTTACCTAATTACTCTGGCTGGGACTTCTAATACTATGCTAAATAGAAGAAGTGAGGTTAATTTCCAGCATATGTAAGAAACTCCTATAAATCAATAGCATGGGCAACACAGCAAGACTCCACCTCAAAAAAAAAAAAAAAAAAACACTATGAAAACAAAGAGTAGTTAAGAGGGTATGTCTCATGGGTGTTCTTACTATAATAATTTATTAAGGTCATGAAAGCTGACATTGTCTAGTTCATAATTGTAGGGGGAAATCTGAGTTTTTTCCAGCATTGAGTATGGTGTTAGCTGTGGGTTTTTCATATATGTCTTTTTTATAAGTTCAATGATTGCACATTTGAAAGAAAAGATGTGCAGCATCAGGACAGGTCCATGAGAGGGGACATGGAAGGCCAGGGGAGGACAGGGCCATACTTTTCCACATGGCATGGGCATAAGGCTTTACAGCTCATGGAAAAAAATCCATTATAAGTGATGTGGGCTGGGCAGAGTAGCGGTTGTGACTTTTATGATTCAGGGCACTGAAATTTAGATTCAGGGACTTGCTCAGAGTAACAACACTGAGGAGTAATGAAGCTAAGGCAGGGAATTCAGTTGGTTCCCTGGAGATGGAGATCCCTGAGTGCCTGAGACCGGGGGTCCATGCCCTGGACTCCAAAGCAAGGACCCTTCTCACTCCTTTCTCAAATCCTCCCACCCCTATGGCTGCTGCAGGGAGACGCTGATGCCTGGAGAAGGTACTTGGCCTAAGAGAAGGGCCCAAATCGTGATTCAACTCCCGGCTTTACATTTCAACCCCTGACCCAAAATGTAATGACTTTCCCCAAAAGAAGCCCTGCTGAAGGCCCGGGGGACCAGATTTGTCTATCTGCCTTAGCACTTGACTGTAGCTGCCTTGTGGGGAGGCTTCCCTGTGGTCAGGTGACTGCTCCGAATGACCAGGAGCCTCCTTGACTTTCAACTGACTCAGAACCCAGGACGTTCCAAACCAAATGCCCATGTGACAGTTGTCCTTAGAATTAGATTCACCTCCCAACTGACTGAACCAGCAGTTGTCCTTAGAATTAGATTCACCTCCCAACTGACTGAACCAGGCTGCTGGGCAGTTAATAGGATTAACTGAAAAAGCGGCCTACAGGGCTGGTGCTTGGACGGCTCAAGGAGTGAAGTCTGCAAGCTCCCACAGTGTCACTGCCTATCGATCAGAGCAGCCTGGCCTCAGGCCTGGCTGGAGAAGGGGCAGTGGTGGCACCAGCCCTGAGTGGGTGCCTCACCACTCCCACCCTTCCTCACCAAAACTCAGGCCCTGCTGTACAAACTACAGCAACTACTCCAATCTCTTTAACGGCTTCAGGTCTACAGTGCCTTCAGTACAGTAACTGGCAGGGGGTGATGTCGGGGCTAAACCTGCTGTCTGTCTAGGTGCTGACTGGGATGCCTCTGGGAATGGGCAGGAGAGTTCCTTGACCCCAGATCACTTTTCTAGTGTATCCCATATTTAAACCTTCCTGATCTTGTTGTATCTTTGAGGCGTTATCTTCAGAAAATACATTCAAGGATGGGCATGGTGGCTCATGCCTGTAATCGCAGCACGTTAGGAGGCTCAGGCAGGTGGATCACCTGAGGTCAGGAGTTGAAGACCAGCCTGGCCAATATGGTGAAATCCCATCTCTACTAAAAATACAAAAATTAGCCAGGTGTGGTGGTGGGCATCTGTAATCCCAGCACTTTAGGAGGCTCAGGCAAGTGGATCACCTGAGGTCAGGAGTTCAAGACCAGCCTGGCAAATATGGTGAAACCTCATCTCTACTAAAAATACAAAAATTAGCCAGGTGTGGTGGTGGGCACCTGTAATCCCAGCTACTTGGGAGACTGAGGCAGGAGAATTGCTGGAACCCAGGAGGCAGAGGTTGCAGTGAGCTGAGATCATGCCTTTGCACTCCAGCCTGGGCAAAAAAAAGTGAAACGCAGAAAAAAGAAAGAGAAAAGGACAAAGAAGAGAGAGGAAGGATGAAAAGAGGGAAGGAGGGAGAGAGGGAGGGAGGGAAGGAAGGAAAGGAAAAAGGGACAGAAAAAGGAAAGATGAAAGGTCAAAATAGAGACCGCTCTTGACATGTTGATGACAGGAAACCATGAACAAGTGTTAACAACCTTCCCAGGCCACACTTTGATTCACCAGCTGCCTAGGGGAGCAACTGAGTCAAAGTTGGGCTTAGGAGGGAGGGGTCTGCAGTGTGGTGGGCACTTAAAATACACAACAGGCCGATTGTGTCAGGACGTTACTCCAATGAGAGAGACAATTCAGGAGGACAGCTGAGCTCAGTGACTGAGAGCAAGGGACAGATGCTTGATGGCCTGGGCTCAGATCCTACCTAGAAGCTGGGGGACCCTGGGAAAGGGAGAGAGTGACTTAACCCCTCTGTGCTCAGTCCCCTGCTGTGTGATATGGAGGTGTTTATGGGGCCTGCCTGTTAGCATCATGTTCTGAAGCTTACCCTAAGCAGATCCATATTAAGCCTGAAGAAAAATGACTGGCACTTCATAAGTGCTATACAAGTGTTCAAATGTGAAGCCTCTGCAGGAAAAAGACAGACACGTAGCAGTGGTTGCCTCCAGAGAGAAAACTTGGTTGACTACAAGACATGGAAGGTGGAAGATCTCTTTCCAGCCTTTATATGGGCAGGATGCCTTATAGCTCCTCAAGGGAATCTGCCCTCATCTCCTCTGACCTTCATATGAGCCGTGTGGGATGGGCAGAGCAGGGCTGTGACCCACATTTTACAGTTGAAAACTGACATTTAGAGGGGCTGATTTTCCAAAGCCACACACTGAGGAGGGATGGGCTGGAGCTAGGAATGAAGTTGGTTCCCTGGAGCTGAAGATCCATCAAGCAGAAGCCCTCTGGGTCTCGCCTTGGGCACCTGAACCAGGGCTTCCCTCACTCCATTTCCCAAATCTTGTTCCAGGATTGCTTTGGGAAGAGCTACTGTCCTGTGGAAGGTGCCTGACCCAGCCTTCTGCCTCTGCATTTTAATCCCTGACCCAAAATATGATGCAGCTGATCCCAAACAGAGGCCCCTTGAAGGATCAGCATGTCCAGTCTGTGTCACTCCTCCCCCAACACCTTCACAGCGTGGGCTGCCTCAAGGTGAGGTGTCCGGTGCTCCAGCGACCGCCCTGAATAACTAGTGGCTGCTTGACTCCCAACTGCCTCAGAGCTCAGGACAAGTGGAGGAGAACTGGTTTCTTTCTTAAAGCCAGATATGGCTGCAAGCCAGCCGCAACCTTACGACAGCATCACAAAAAATTAGTTTCACCAAAACTGATAAACTCTTATGAACAGGAGGCTGGCTGGGTTGCTGCTCGGATGGTTTGGTGAGTGAAGCCCACAACCTCCCAGGGTCTCATGGACTGAAGAGCTGAGCAGCTGTCTGAGCAGCCTGGGCTCAGGCCTGACTGAGAAAGGACAGTGGCTGCTCCAGCACAGAGGGTGCACCTTCGTGCTCACATCATTTCTCACCGAGAATTAGTCTCTACAAGCTCCTCCTCCCACCACCAGACCTCTGAAAAGACAGGGGCAGAGTACAACTCCTCTTAGAGGGTCTGTCCATTGCCACAGCCTTCATACCCCCAGCCCAGGATCCTTCCCGAGGACCACGCAGGGCCTCCTTCCCTCTGTCACCAAATGTGCATTCCACTAACCCGATGGCACTGTTCTTTCTCACCACTCTCCCCAGCTGCACCCAAACAGCCAGTGGTCATGTCCTCATCAACCCCATGCAAATCCCACTGTGAGATTTCAGTTGCTGTTTGTCCCGAGCATCTCTGAATCGAGACTGCTGAAGATTGATATCAGATTTTGACAGATACGCTCAGGAGTCTTTGGTCTGAGGTGCCCCTCCCTGCTGTATCCGCTGCTGTGGTGGTGTCGATATTCTCCTAATCTGACGAAGGCAGCCTGGATGTGTCTCCACATCTCGTCTCTGGAAGAGTATGCAGGAGACTGGCCTTCTTTCTCCCGTAAACATTTGTTAGGAATCAGAGGAACCAAACTGTGCTGGCCTCTGAAGTTGGCGTTGTGGCCATTTTTTTTCTGTTGATACGTTTTGTTTTAAGGATGGTGCAGTGCTCAGATATTAAGTGTACAGTCTTACAGTTCCTTATAAACATGTTTAAACACACAGAACGTCACCAGCACCCTGGCGGCCTGCCGTGGCTGGGGATGGGAATCACACCGAGCAACTAAACCAGTTACTCCATGTATGTTCTGAGCACAAGACTACATGTCATTAGCACAGAATGAGCAGGGCAGCACCCTCAGAAGCAGGTGGCAGAGCAGGAGAGCTGGAAGAAGCCAACAGAGGAGCTGTGGGATTCAGCAGGGGAGTCTGAGGGCAGGCCAGGAGCTGAGAGAAACTCTGGGAGCATTGGGCTTCCCCAGAGAGAAACGGGAGCACTTCACAAAGTGCAGTGCCCAGAACAGCTCACCAAGGCCTGCCTTTGTTTAACCAGCTGTTCAGATTTATATATTTATCTTTTTTTTCATAGAATCTATTGAAAACTAGCAATAGATTTTGTTTAACGTAAAAATGTTCAACATTAAATGTAGAATATAATTCTAAACCTAATCCCAAATCGATAATATTCAAAAACTAACTGCCCTTCAATGAGGTGAAGCAGGCTCCTGTCTGACTCAGTCTCCCCAGAACGAATCACACTCCAGATCCTCTCTGGGCCTAGGTGAGATCTGCACGTCACGGCCTTCCTGGGTGTTGGGACAGGGATCTGCAACACAGACACATGTCACTGGAGAGGCCAGAGAGGGAGGGAGGAGGGCCTTGCTTGGCTGGGTGTGCAGGACCCAGACGGTTCCTCAGGGCCTTAAAGTGACCTGGTGCTGATGTCCCTGGGTCAGATCCACAGGGCACTGAGTCTGGTTGCTGCTCTCAGGACCTCTGCTGAGGGTGTTGTGTGACCACAGAGAGTGCCTGTAAATGTCCTGCAAGGAGCAAAATAAACTAGAACTTCACATGGGCACCCCTCCAGAGATACTGAATAGCCCTGGATACTGAAACCGAGGAATGGGGAGGGCTCCAGGGCTCCAGGATGAACAGGCAGAGTCCCCTGCACCTGGGCCCTCAGAGAACAGGAGGTCTGATGACACAGGAGTGGGAGAGGTGACCCTGTCCCTCCACCAGGACCCTCAGCAGGATAGGGTCAGGAACCGGCACATCCCATGGACAGCATCCTGGAGCTCTTTGTTGTTTTCCCTAATGATCATTTTTTCTTTCTAATCACCCAACCAAACTTGCCTGTACTTTTTAACAGGGAAATCACTGGGCGGTGGGAGGACAGTTCAGGGCACCTTCACTGGCTTGCATGGGTGCTCAAGGCACCTGTGTGGCCACCCACAAGCTGCCGCTCCGTGTTCTCCTGGGATGTGTTGGTTTTTCTGATGTGTCCGTAAGAAAGTGAGGGAAGGAACAGGGCCGCACGCACTTGCTTGCTTCCCTTCATCGTGCTGCCCGCTCCACACTCCCATTTCATCTCTCTCTTCTCCATCTATTATGTCCTTCATGTCTTGACCTGGATGGAGAGTAAGAGAATTTCTTGACTTCTGAAAGAAAGAGAAGAATCATACATGTCCAGAGTGCCCCAGTGCAGGAAAAACCCTGTGATGGGGGTTCCCAGAGCAGACCCAGATTTCCCAGGAGTCCCTCCACCATGGTGAGCCCAGCCCTTCATACCTCCAGCCCAGCCCCCTGCCTGGAACACTCAGGGCTGCTCAGCAGGATTCAATGCTGCAGCTTGGGGTCAGAAACCAGGGCAGGGCCAAGACAGTGGGCGGAGGGCTGGGAGAGATTTCATAGACAGTGAAGACCCAAGGACATCAGCTGCCTGGGTGAGACGACCAGGCCCTTCATGATGATGATCCTAAAAGAGGAAAGAGGGAATGGGGCACAGCAACCAAGAGGAATGTATGCAGAGGAAAGAGAATATCAAGGAGACACTAGTAGGAAAGAAAATGACATGCAGATCGCTGTTCTCTGTATCTGTAACTTCATCTTCTATATCATATGCCTTGGCAGGTATAAAAGCTGTGATAATATAACGGGGTGGCCTTGGGGAAAGAAAGGGTAGGGTCAGAATTGAGGCGGCACCTTGGGCCCTGATGCTCCTGGCAATTTAAAGCCCAGCTTCTGAACTCAATTCTCCCTCATCTCTACGGTCGTATCTCAGGACCTCATCACTTCACCTCTGAAGTTCAGGACAAGGATCCTAAGAGAGGGAAAGAGGGAATAGGGGAGAGCTGCAAAGATATCATGAATAAGAAAGAGAGAAGTTAGAAAATGAGGAAGAAAGAGGAGGAAAAAGACATGAAAGAGAAATGACACGCAGATTGTTGCTTTCATGGTCAGAGACTTCAGTGTGCAAAGTAATTTTCTGAGCATCCATTTGCAGAAATGGGGTGGCGCTGGGAAAGGAAAGGGGAGAGTGATCATGGAGGTGCGACCTGGAGGACTCGGTACTCTTTGCAGGAAACAACCTGACCTTAGATTCTGTTCTGTTCGCATCTCAACGCTTCTCATCTGTCCTCATCTCAATGCTCCTCTTCCAGGACCTCCACAGCTTCACGTCTGTGATGAGGGAGGAGGACTAGGATCTCGGGGACTTTTCCAGTCCTCCAAGGATTTAACTGTGATGAGGCAGGAATCATGCCTTGGACCCTGAACCAACAGCTCTGTTTGGGTTGCTGTGATTCATGTTAATGACTTTTCTCTTCCCCCTCACCGAAGCAGCTCAGAGCATTCTGCCTCAATGGCCCATATCCTTCAGTGTTTGGAAAAGCGCATAGAAAGCAAATCTGTGGCCATATTTTTAAAGGATGTCTCAGATTCCTTCTGGCTTCTCTTCTCCTTGACACAGACAGAAGAGGGGTCCTTTGGTGCTGAAATATAAGCCACAGGCCCACTCAGACATCTGGAGAGGCTCTAGTTGGTGTTCATTCATTCAACATACACATACAAAACACCTCATTTGTGCATCGTTCTTCCTGTGGCTTGGCATAATTTATTAAACAAAGCCGATGACAATCCTTGGACCTCAAGTCTACTCAGAGTCAGGCGCTCACAGTAGACAGAATAAACAGACCATATCTACAGAATGTTAGAGGGGAAACCCTCTTGGCCTCCTCTACGTATGGTGACGTCCTCCCAGATTCTGACTAGAATGACAGAGCCCAGCAACAAGTATAAACCAGGTGAATTTAGGGTTCTAAAGGGCCTTTTCACCCACAAAACATGGGGGAAAAGATGTGGACTCTGGCTGGGGAAAGACTCAAGGAGCCCTGGGGCTCATACTTCTTATACTCCCATGAGAAGTCTGACATTCTAGGACTTCTCCTGCAAGAGGCAAATAGTCAATGAGTTCTGTAAATGGAGATTTAGGTCCCCTGCAACAGGGACAGTTTATTTCAAGAGAGGAGACATGAGTTGAATGCTGGTATGTTTTAACTCTGCAGAAAAAATAGTTGCAACAAGTGTGGTGAACTAATCACCCAACGGCCTTTTGCTGCCTTGTCATTGTGCCTTAAGTATAAGTGAATCTACTGAATGCCACTGCATGCACACTTTGACTAAAAGGTTCAAATGATAAATATTGTGTTAAGTATATTTTTCCACAATAGAAAACACACACAGCCAAGCCCAGATGCCAGTCGTGCTAGCAGCCTTCCTTTACCTTCAAGAGTGGGCCAAGGCTCATCTGATCGCTCAAGGTATCTCGGAAGCTTACCATCAAAGTAGTCTCCATTGGAAGAGAAATTAATGGAGAGAGGAGAAAACTTCAGAATCCACACTACTCACTTCACAGGGTCAACAACTCTGTCTCCTGTGCACTGCTGATCCATCTCAGTATTTCCTGTGACCACCTCCTTTTTCAACTGAAGACTCTGCACCTGAAGGGGTTCCCAGGTTTTTCACCTTGGCCCTTGTCAGGACTGATCCTCTCGGCTACTGTCCATTTCACCTCCATTCATGTCCATGCCACATCAGGCTGTGTTGTCCAGATGGAATGAATCCACCCCAAATGTCCCTTTCTGGAGGAAGCCACCATGATGCTGTACCTCCAACACGTCCACACACACCGAAGCACCTCGCTCACGCAAGGTGTGTGTCCTCCAACCAAGTTTCACGCTGTAAACCCAGGTAACTTTTGAAACCCAAGTCTTGTTGATTCCCCTACTTCAGGTGCTCCATAGATGCTCGTTTGTCTGCAGAACCCTGCCCCAGGCAATTAAATTGTCCAACATGACCAGCAGAATTTTTCTGTTAGTTCTGACCTTGTGTTGGGAGTACAAGTGTTTCTCCCCCTTCAAATTTCTGTCTTTGTTACTGATAAAAGTATGTAACTGATAATGCTTTTTTTCAGCTATGTTGCCAAGCACATTTATATAAAAATATACTCTTAGATTGTTTTGAGAATTTGATAAAGATGATAGCAACAATGATAATCTTATTTGTTACAATAAGATTGTATGTAATGATAATCTTTACGTGTTACTTTCATCATTTCTTACATGTTGGGGCCTACCATACATTGTACAGCATTAGTGCTATGCATCATGGTAGGAATATAAGTTGGCAAAGGAAATTTAGAAAATAGTTCTCTTACTTCTTAAAAAAAATTTGGTTGGGCATGGTGGTTCACAGCTATCATCCCAGCACTTTGGGAGGCAGAGGTGGGTGAATCACCTGAAACGAGGAGTTTGAGACTAGCCTGGCCAACACAGCAAAACCCTGTCTGTACTGAAAATACAAAAATTATCCGGGCGTGGTGGCGTGTGCCGGTTGTCCCAGCTACTTGGGAGGTTGAGGCACGAGAATTGCTTAAACCTGGGAGGCAGAGGTTCTGGTGAGCTGAGATTGTACCATTGTACTCCAGCCTGGGTCTCAAAAAAAATAATAATAATGACCAAAATGTTATTATGCATTACATGACTGTATATGAATGCTCAAAGCTACATTACTCATCATAGAAAAAAAAATAACTCTCCATTAACTGATAAATGAATAAACACTATCTGTATGAATGAACATAGCAGACTATGAAGGAACAACCAACATGTGCTAAAGCATCAATTAACTTCAAACATAGTATGCTAAATGAAGGAAGTCAGATTCCAAATATATATATGTGTGTATATATTTATATGTGTATATATGTGTATATATGTGTATATATATAATCCCATTTCTATTAAAGAAGCAGGAAATTTATGGAGATGGAATATCATAGCAGCAGTGCTCAGGGCTGGAGATGGGAGTGGGGATTAACTGCCCATGAGCAAGAGAGAACTTGCACACAGTATCAATTTAATAAAGCATCAAATTGTATACTTTTTCAGTGGGTGAATTTTATGATGAGTTCACACCCAGTATAGGGCATATCTCTTGCACCCTGCCCTCTGCGGGTGGACGCCAGCTCCCAGCCGGCTATCAGTGACCGAAGGTCCTTGTGATTTGCACATGGTGGCTTCCATCAAGGGCCCGGTGGGCAGAGGCCCTGGCTGAGTCAGCAAGGCTGGCAAGGCTCATGGCTGTGTTCTGGATGCAGGCCCAGCAGATGTTTGACGGGGAGGTGGCGAGCCTGGAGGCCCTCCGGGGCACAGGCCTGGTGCGGGCGCTGAGGTCCATGAAGGTCATTGATTTGCTGAGGGGTGGGGCCACCTTTGTGATGGAGCATTTGAAGATGAGGAGCTTGAGCAGGTGAGCGTGGGTGAGAGACCCATATGCACACAAATGCACAGGCAGAGAGAGACTCACAGAGACAGTGTGACTCAGAGAGCGACAGAGAAATGGAATAGCCTCTGATTGAGCCGTCCACACAACTGCCCAGTTATCAGAGGCAGGACCAAGAGTTCCACCCTGCCATTCTTAATGGAGATAAAAAGTTACTGCTTTCTGATATATGACTAGTTTTTTTTAGATTAGTTTGCTATAATGAGGCTGCATAAAGTAAATATATATTATATATGTAATTATATATATTACATAATATAATTTTATATATATATATAGCAACAGACTGATACACTCATCCTACAAAAAAAACAAAAAAAGAAGACAGAAAAAAGGAAAAAGAAAAAAATGTAAGGAC